TAAGCTAATAAAAAAAATTAAGCTACCTCAATTTGTTCAAAGACGACTTCGTTCAATAAAAGATCATTTAAGCTACTGGAAAGCTTTGGAGTTTAAAGTATTCTTTTTTTATGTGTCGCTTATAGTTCTAGAAGGAGCTTTAAAACCCGAATATTTTGAACATTTTAAATTATTAGTTGGTGCTATTTATTACCTACGTCAACCAAGTATATCAGAGGACATGTTAAATAATGCGGATCGAATGATACATGAATTCATCTCTCGATTTGCAATTCTCTACGATGTTCGTAACATGACGAATAATTTGCATTCGTTAGTACATTTCGTTCAAGATGTTCGTGAGAATGGTCCTTTATATGTTTATTCGTGCTTTACATATGAGGATATTAATGGAAAATTGAAAAATTTAGTACACGGAAGCAAAGGGGCACAACTGCAAATATATTTTGGTGCATCTTTATATATGAGCACATTTACTTTAAATCAAGACCAACTAATTGAAGGATCTAGAGCGCATACTTTTTGCAAAAAGTATATTTGTTGCACGAAACAATTAAAACTACAACGTATAAAAGATAATTTATACGTTGTTGGCGCTTTTTCAAAAATGCCTATACCGAATGATGTGCATCAATTATTTTTGGATCATGGAGTTCAAGGTGTAAAGTACATAGTTTTCAAAAAATTAATGAAAAACGAAATAATGTATACGTCGGAAATATACACACAAGCAAAAGTTACCAATTCTAAATGTGCACAGTACACTGCAAATAATCAATGTAGATTCGGAATTATTCGACTTTTTTTAAAAGTAGTATATTGTGAATGTAGAGATAATTGTGATTGCCGAGCATCTTATTATGCAGTTATTCGAAGATATAGAAAAGAACTAGCTTTCCCTACAACAGTGCTTCCGCCAATAAAATTAAATTTCATTCATAGAGTTTATGAAATTCCGAATCAAATGGATGTTGTAAATGTAGAAAGTTTACAAAACGTCTGCTTTTTTATAGAAGTCCAAAAAGAAAACACTATATCTACGTTTGTTTCACAGCCTGTAAACGTAATTGAAAATGAATAAAAATAACTCATTTAAAAACGCATAAATGGTATAAATTGCAATTACTTTGATTGATAAAAATAAAATATCATTACTGCTGTGAATCTGCATGATAAAAATTATATATTTGCCACAATTTTGTATGACAATAAGTGGACATTCAAATTGACAGAATTTACTAGTCTGTATGATCAAAAGTATGCGCCACAATTTTTGGCTGACAATAAGTAAACTTTCAAAAGTATACGCCACAATTTTGGCTGACAATAAGTAAACTTTCAAATGTATACGACACAATTTTGGCTGTCAATAAGTTAACTTTCAAAAGTATACGCCACAATTTTGGCTGACAATAAGTAAACTCAGAAATATACGCCACAATTTTGGCTGAAAATAAAAAGACATTTAAATTTATTATTGAATTTACTTATCATTATAGTCAAACCTAATCGCCACTTTTTTGGTTGACAATAAATTGAAACTCATTCATTTTGTCTGAATTTAATGGACATAATAATTATTTAAATATGTTCATCACAACTTTAACTAAGTAAAGTAAAAAATGCTAAATCATTATCATCATCAATAAGGCTAAAATAATTTAGTAACGCTTTGTCTGAATACAAATTAATAAAATATAGATGAAATTACATTCTTCACAAATAATCACAAATTTCGACACTATTTTTATTACATAGAAATACAATGGAAAATCATAGACAGCACATAAGGTGAAGTAAGTATTTATATTATTTTTAAATCAAATAATTATTTATAAAAAGTAAGTTTCTGCAGAGTCTAAAATTTTATGATTTTCATTTATATTTTCAAACAAAGATATAAGTTTTTTTTAATCATATTATACTAACTGAATTTATTCAATTATAGTTACAAAAATGTTTCTATAATTTTAAAAATTGTTTGTGTACATTTTCATGAGAAAGGACCACTTTATTGCTATCGGACTTATCTATATTGTCAATTTCCTTGTTAAATTTGGAAAATTTTGAGGAATCTCAAGTCTATTTTGACGCAAGAAAAGCTGGACTTCAGAATTTCAAAGTTCAAAATGCCAGAAACATTATTTCGAGGAAACGAAATCAAAGACTGTAATACAAATATCTATGGTTCATTCAAGAAGTTATTCAGGTGAGACTTATTTTAAATCAAGTACACTTTCATTTACAGATAAACAAAAATAAAGATTACAAAAAACAGAATTAATATTATAACTTTTACTCTCTCCCCTTTATTTCTTATATAAGAGGGATTCGACAAAATAATTGTTTATTTGCGATTTAAAATCAATTAGAGAATTACAATTAGAGTAGACTGTAGTTAGATAACCATTTAGCTTTTATTTTCTATACTATACATTGATAATGAAAAATATCGATAGTGAAACTTTGGTAGTATAAATGCTTCGAAAACAAAAATATCGAATTTTCTGCGAGAAACTTTTAAATATACTACATAATATAATGTTTTTAAATAGTTGAATGTAACGCCGCTCAGTGGCAAAAAAATGTACTTTTTCGTTTCAAACCACTCTACAGGTCACAATTTTATACCAAAAAGATTTTCCTTTTTTTCTAAATCTTCGTAATTAAATTCTCCATCGATCTCTTGAGTCAGATTTTTGAATTTTTGCTTTCAAATATTTTTTTAATAACAATGTATACTAAAAAACATAAAAACGTAAAAAATATTTTTTATTAGCTTCATTAATTAAGAAAATTAATCAAAAAACCTATTAAAATAATATTTGAGTGTTTCTGATTTATGAAAATAAGTATAACAATTTATTAACTTTTTTAAACAATTAGTTGTTGTTATTTTTTATAAACTATACTTTGGGCTAGAAATTTCTAGTTTTTTCTCCATTTTGTAATTTGTCATGAGTAAAAATTCTACTAATGATAAAAAATAAAAATTATTTGTTTAGAAATTATTTAAACAATTATTTGTTATTGTTTTTGTTATATACTGTACATAAGGCTACAAATTGTGCATTTTCTTTTTTAACTATAACATTCAACTATCAAAGAAAAATTAAAAACTAATTATTTAAACTTTGTTGAAACCATTTATTTTGTTAATTTTCCAATTTACTGCGAACTTAAAACTTTTTTACCTTTAACAAACAAAGAAACAAAATACTTAAAGTAGCAATAAATTTAAGGAAACTGCATAATTCGATATGTGAAACCCTGTAGATAATATAAAAAATTGTTAAAATCGAGATTTTCCTCAAAATTATTAAATAGCGCTTATCTCCAAATCTATAACCGACAAAATGGCCTTTTTTTAAGCGGGACGTACACATTTATTGATTTCAAAGTTAAACTAAAAAACTTGAAAATTTTTTAAATTGTTTTTATAGTACCTAGTTGAATAATTTTGGAACCAAAAGAAGAAATTTTTATACTAAATGTACTTTAACAACTCCTAATATTCACTGCATTGAAAAATAACGTAATATTTTTTAAAAATTTAGTCTTTTTAAATTAAAAAAAATATTGGTTCAGTTCACCAGATCAATATAAATTGATCTGGTGTTTTTTCCTTCGACTTTTAACCTAAGATTGTTTGTTTTCTAATCTAATACTGAATTGTTTTTTAGTTAAAAAAATTTATTTCATATTAAAATAAAATAAATGAATAAATAAATGGTTTCTTCTTAGTAAACTGCTTTAATGAATTTTTGTGATTTAAACGATTAAATTTCAAAAAATCGAGTTGAGCCCTTTTCAAAATTCACGATTCAATTATTGTATGTAAAAAAATAACATATTACAAAACAAATGACAGTTGTTAATTAACCAATTTTAGAAACGTCAAGATGTTCAACGCGAAGCATTCAAAAATAGAAAAATTGGAGGAAACTCTCAAAAATGTTTCAAGAGAGATTGAGGAATTGAAACACTGTAAGTAGAAGTGATACTAAAAGTTTTAAATTCAAAAGTTACTCAAGTACTTTTTTTGTTAAATTAAATATGAACAACTATTTTCGCGTTTTGAAATAATTTTTTTGTAAAGTTTTTCACAATACGAATAATTACAGACATCTATAAAAATATTTTTATTAATTAATAAAAAATTAAATAGAAAAATAAAATTTTTCATTGTAGGTTAAAAATAAAAAATAAATAATATAATAAAAAATATTTCAACTCTTCAATTTAAATAAAATTATTTAGTTAACTTAAATAAATTTAATACGTAAATTAAAAGTCGATAAAAATAAACAATTCTTTAAAATTAAAATGCCTGAAAGTGAATAAAAATAAAATAAAAAATTCTTTTAATTCAAAAAATAAATAAAAATATATTAATTTATGTAAAATAAAATAGTAGAAATAAAAAAATAAAATTTTTCAGTATAGGTTAAAAGTAAAAAATAAATAATATAATAAAAAATATTTCTACTATTTAATTTAAATAAAATTATTTATTAATCTGTAGTAAATTTAATACATTTAAATTAACAGTACATAAACATAAAAAATTCTTAAAATTAAAATTTCTAAAATAAAAATAAAATAAAAAATCCTCTAAATTTACAAAAAAATAAACATATATTAATTAATGTAAAATAAAATAGTAGAAATAAAAAAATAAAATTTTTCAGTATAGGTTAAAAGTAAAAAATAAATTAAATAATAAAAAATATTTCAACTACTTAATTTAAATAAAATTATTTATTAATCTGTAGTAAATTTAATACATTTAAATTAACAGTAAATAAACATAAAAAATTATTAAAATTAAAATTTCTAAAATAAAAATAAAATAAAAAATCCTCTAAATTTACAAAAAAAATAAACATATATTAATTAATGTAAAATCAAATAATATAAATAAAAAACTTTAAATCACAAAAATAATAAATATATATTAATAAAATAATTCAATTTCCATTTTAGTGCAAAATGATACCATGCATACGGATGTTGGAAGAAGTGGAGAACGTGCTAAAGAAAGACGTGATGAAACAGATGGTAAGATTTAAAATACATCATTTCTTTATACACAAAAAAATATTATATTCAAAACATTGTGTTCTATTATGTAATACTTAAACTTAATGTTTTTAGATGGCAGTGAGAAAGCAGATAGAATGAGCCGTAGAGTTTGGAGTGGCGAATGGCGCAATTCAAACTTAAAGCCGCAGTCATCATCTGCAAATCAGATCACAGGTTAATTAAATCACTTAAAAGTTTTTTTGCAATTTTTTTTGTTTTTTTTCTTAGCCATTTATTAATTTTTGAACAGTTTTTAGTTTTTTTCACTTTATCTTTCCATACATTAATTCATAAATTTTTTTCAATTAATTTTAGTTCTCTCTTTATATTTATTCTTGTTTCTGCTTATCCTTATTCTTGTTGCCTAAAATACACATTACTCATATAATAAAATTGTATCTATACTCATTAAATACAGGAAAATTAAGAACAAGAGGAAAATCAAGCGGAAAAAGCAGACGTGAATGGTACCGGAGGAGAAACCAATACCAGTATTTGGATAAAGGAAGAAATGTTGGAAAAGGAGTAAATAAAAATTATTATTGGAACGGAGACAAATATAGAGGATCCGAAAGACAAGTAAGAGCTCCTGGAGGACCACGAGGCGGAAGAAAATGGACAAATGGAAGACAAGAATATAGAACCGGAAAAGCAGCAAGAAATATCCATTTACATTTTCAACTTTAATTGTTATTATTTTATGATTATTATCATTTATTTGATTTACTACTTAAACTTACTATTCAAACGTATGTCTCAGACGAAACAAATTAATCCTAAAGTAAAATAAAATATGTTTAAAATTTATTTACATGTTGCATTATATTAAAGCAATTAAATAATTCAATACACTAATAAATAATTATTATTATAAGTATATAAGTATATTAAATAAGAAGAAAATAGATCAAAACCATATTAGGAACAATTGTACATACCTGTATTATAAGCCATCTAATTATCACTGAAACTGAAAATAACACAGTAATAACCACTAAAAAGCGATGCACTACGTGTCAAATGTAACATCACATCCAAAAACATCCATAAGTAATTTAATATCGATAAATATTCATTCTTTCTACCTAAAAATTTAGTTGCATGAATAAAAGAAAAAATCTGGATTTCATATTCAACGTATTTTGGTAGTAGGATTTTGCTCTGGCTGAGAAATTGAAAGTCCGAAAGCCCCGGTTTCAACTGTAAAAAACCATTCTAATGCTACGCCAGGGTGGTCCCGGGGATGAAAATGCTATTTGCTCTTCTTGAAAAATTCTAAACGTTTTCAACTGTGAAAAAACGATTTTAATTTCACGTCTGGGAGGTACCGGGGTACTAACACTTATTATGATGAAATGAGACATTATATTTATGATAGTCTTAATGAAGGATGTTTAAATGAAGATCAAAGGAAATATTTAAGTAGATTATATCCTTTTAAACCTCCAGTAGTTTTCACAACTGTTGATCAACAACCAAACAATAGTCTTGCTTGTGGAATATATGCAATAGCATTCGCAACATCGATATTTTTTAATATTATGCCCCACTCTGTCAATTACTATTATTATAACATGAGAAATCATTTAATGTTAATGTTCAAAAACAATCGTTTAAGTAAATTTCCGTCAGTAAGGTCGACTAATATTAGACCTATGACTGTTGAATATAATTAGGAGTGTCATATTAGGAATCGAGCTAGAGAAAAAAGTTTCCAAAATGAAGAAAATAAAATTGTTGACAATAATTTATCATCGTTGAATTCAACCAGCAATGTTTGTAAAAAAAATGTTGTTAATAGTTGTTTAGAAAATTTGCCTTTAATTCCAGCAAATGATGTTAATAATAATTCTATTGATTCAAGCAATGGAATGAAAGATACAAGATTAATAATAACTGAGAAGCAACGAAAAAACAGAGCTATGGTTCATTTTTCTGAAGAAGAAGAAAAGTATAAAATCATAAAACGTCAAAAAAAGCTGCTTATCAAAAAAAACCTTGACAAAAAAGCGAGAAAATAATAAAATTGTTCGCTCTGGATCATTGGATTCTAATGAATTCATTAGTGCAGAGCAAACTTTAAATAAGAGGCCCCAAACCACATCCACAGCTTTATCATCAGCAGAAGAAAATATTTCTACTTCTAAAGTTAAAACGTCAATTCGTGACAGAAATGTTGCTTACAAGCGCACTTCTCGACAAAATAAACATACTTCTGTTCAAAAACAAAATCAGTCTGATATTATTTCAAAGTCACATATAGAGACAGGTTATTGTAATGAATTGAACATTACACGTGATCATTCTTATGTAAAACTTTGTGAACATAAAGTTAACAGTGAATTATTTATAAAATCAGAAACTAATAGAAATGAGGGAGAAATTATTATAAACAGAAGTTTGAAAAGTATGCCTTCAACATCAGCGCAGAATAATAATAGTACATCAGGAGAAGTAATACACAAAGGAAATTATAAAGACAAAGATAATGTAATTATTGAAAATGCAACAATTAATTCAAAAATCAACAGTTCAGAGGAAACTTTTAATAATAGACAATTACAATGCATGACTTCGAGATCATTAGATAATTGTATTGATTCAAGAAATGTTACAAAATATACTAATTTAAAAAATGAAAATCAAGTAAAAAAAAGAATAATAATACGTTCTTTAGAGGAAGAAGAACAACATCAAGTCATGAAACGTCAAAAGAAAGCTGCTTTTCAAAGAAAGTTTCGACAAAAAAAACAAGACAATAATAGAATTCTTAATCCTCAATCAATCCAAACAAAGGATAGTATTATTACAGTGGCTAAACCAAATATAAATTCAGCAAAATCCTCTACAACTGTTAATACATCTTTAGCAAAAGATAATGTAACTGTTACAGCAAATTTATCAAATACTAATATTTCTGGTCGTCAAAAAAATGCAGCTTATCAAAGAACTCATAGCCAAAAAAAAAACGGAATTCTGCACAGAATCAAAATTTCTCTGACAGTATTTCAGTCTCGCATATAGAACATTTTGCTGGTGCGATAAACATTTCATGTGAGCATTGTAATGCTAAACATTTCCAAGCAGAAAGAGTATATAATAAAAAAAATTCATTTCATGATTGTTGTAAACATGGCGAAGTCATTCTTGAAGATCTACCTGCTCCTCCACTCATATTACAAAATTTATTTGATGGCACCCAAGAATTATCTGGGCATTTTCTTCATAATATACGACCTTACAATAATTCATTTGGTTTTGCTTCTTTCAACGCTAACTTAGTTAATTTTAACAATAGACGACCAGGACCATATTGTTTCAAAATACATAGTCAGGTTTATTATCAAATAAATACATCTTTGTATGCAGAAAGAAACGAGACGCATGCTTATTCTCGAAATCTTTTTTGACCAAATAGTTATTTGATATAAAACTACTTAACTTAAAATTCACATAATATGCACATTATTTGACATAAATTTCATTGCACACAAAAACCATTTAACATAAATATCATTTGTCATAGAATTCATTAAACAGAAATATTATGTTACATAAAACTCAGATAACTTAATTCCCATTTGACATAAAATTCAGATGTCATAGATTTCATTTTACATAAAGATCATTTGACCTAGAAATATAGGCGCGAATTTCAAAATTGGCGAATCACAATGTTGTTGATAATATCTAATTGGTTACTTTTAAAATTGGCGCCGATATTTTTATGTAAAATGTAATTTGTGTGAAATGATTTTTATGTCAAATGAGAATTTTGTTAAATGACTTTTATGTCAAATGAGAATTGTGTTAAATGTCTTTTATATCAAATGAACTTTATGAAAAAATGAAAATTATGATAAATGGGATTTACACCAAATGAAATTTATGTCAAGTAAATTTTATGTTAAATGAGAATTATGTTAATTGGTATTTATGCCAAATGAAATTGATGTCAAATGAATTTCATAACAAATAAAATTTACGTTAAATGAGTTTTATGTTAAAAGAAATTTATGTTAAATAATTTTTATGTCAATAGAAATTTATGTTACATAATTTTTATGTCAAATGGGAATTAAGTTATCTGAGTTTTATGTAACATAATATTTCTGTTTAATGAATTCTATGACAAATGATATTTATGTTAAATGGTTTTTGTGTGCAATGAAATTTATGTCAAATAATGTGCATATTATGTGAATTTTAAGTTAAGTAGTTTTATATCAAATAACTATTTGGTCAAAAAAGATTTCGAGAATAAGCATGCGTCTCGTTTCTTTCTGCATACAAAGATGTATTTATTTGATAATAAACCTGACTATGTATTTTGAAACAATATGGTCCTGGTCGTCTATTGTTAAAATTAACTAAGTTAGCGTTGAAAGAAGCAAAACCAAATGAATTATTGTAAGGTCGTATATTATGAAGAAAATGCCCAGATAATTCTTGGGTGCCATCAAATAAATTTTGTAATATGAGTGGAGGAGCAGGTAGATCTTCAAGAATGACTTCGCCATGTTTACAACAATCATGAAATGAATTTTTTTTATTATATACTCTTTCTGCTTGGAAATGTTTAGCATTACAATGCTCACATGAAATGTTTATCGCACCAGCAAAATGTTCTATATGCGAGACTGAAATACTGTCAGAGAAATTTTGATTCTGTGCAGAATTCCGTTTTTTTTTTGGCTATGAGTTCTTTGATAAGCTGCATTTTTTTGACGACCAGAAATATTAGTATTTGATAAATTTGCTGTAACAGTTACATTATCTTTTGCTAAAGATGTATTAACAGTTGTAGAGGATTTTGCTGAATTTATATTTGGTTTAGCCACTGTAATAATACTATCCTTTGTTTGGATTGATTGAGGATTAAGAATTCTATTATTGTCTTGTTTTTTTTGTCGAAACTTTCTTTGAAAAGCAGCTTTCTTTTGACGTTTCATGACTTGATGTTGTTCTTCTTCCTCTAAAGAACGTATTATTATTCTTTTTTTTACTTGATTTTCATTTTTTAAATTAGTATATTTTGTAACATTTCTTGAATCAATACAATTATCTAATGATCTCGAAGTCATGCATTGTAATTGTCTATTATTAAAAGTTTCCTCTGAACTGTTGATTTTTGAATTAATTGTTGCATTTTCAATAATTACATTATCTTTGTCTTTATAATTTCCTTTGTGTATTACTTCTCCTGATGTACTATTATTATTCTGCGCTGATGTTGAAGGCATACTTTTCAAACTTCTGTTTATAATAATTTCTCCCTCATTTCTATTAGTTTCTGATTTTATAAATAATTCACTGTTAACTTTATGTTCACAAAGTTTTACATAAGAATGATCACGTGTAATGTTCAATTCATTACAATAACCTGTCTCTATATGTGACTTTGAAATAATATCAGACTGATTTTGTTTTTGAACAGAAGTATGTTTATTTTGTCGAGAAGTGCGCTTGTAAGCAACATTTCTGTCACGAATTGACGTTTTAACTTTAGAAGTAGAAATATTTTCTTCTGCTGATGATAAAGCTGTGGATGTGGTTTGGGGCCTCTTATTTAAAGTTTGCTCTGCACTAATGAATTCATTAGAATCCAATGATCCAGAGCGAACAATTTTATTATTTTCTCGCTTTTTTGTCAAGGTTTTTTTTGATAAGCAGCTTTTTTTGACGTT